ACCCTCACCGGGGCTGCCGCAGAGGTGCTCATGGAGGAGGAGAACGGGACCAAGGCGGGGAGGGTTGGAGTTTCCCGGGGCGTCCGCGTTATCCCACAGCATAGCAGCCGGGAAGGGGGAGGCTGGTCTCTCAGCGGCGCGGCAGGATCCGGGGCTCACACACCGCCTCGGCGCGCGGGCTGCTCCGGGAGGCTCCCGCTGCCACACTGGCGAAAACACATGGTCATCCGTCCCCTGCCGGCTGCGCACACGTGGGGCGGGCTGGGCCTCCCCCCCAGCGGCGGCGGCGGCCGGGTACAGGAGCCGGCTCACGCTATTGCGCCGGCGTCCAGGGCTCCTGGTGCCTGGCACTTGGACCCGCCCCCGCGCGGCGGGCCCCAGCCATGTTTATAGAGCCACGCGGAGCCCCCCGCGCACGCGCCCCAGGCGCGCGGGGCCGCAGCCGGGCTTTCCCTGGGCACTCTGCCTTCGGATTGGTGGCGCCGAACGAGCCTATGGGGCGGAGCTTTGTGGCGTCATAGGGGCTGCGTTCCAAACAGCTGGGAGGCTGAAGAGGCAGGTGTGGGAGCTCTCCTCGGGGGAAGCAGCTGGTCGGGCTCTCGAGCGGGAGCCGCGGGGTTCAGGCCGAACATTTCGGGTTCGCTTGGCATTTTTTCTTACAAACCCGCAAAGCCAAAGAAGCGTGTCAGACCGTTTTAAACATTACACTTTGGAGGGCGGGATGTAAAAATCCTCCTAGAGCACCTTCAACCAATATCGTGTTCTGGCACAGATTCCATGGGTATCTTTGGGCAAGTCGCATAGGATGAAAAAACCCCTTCAGGGTAGTGTGAGCGCCTCTCTGCTCCCTCTAAAGTAAATAGGAATTGAGGGAGCTCAGTAAGTTACAGGAGCTCTTAAAGAGTGGTTCTGTTCTGAAAAACGACCATATTAATAGCTGCCTTTTTACTCACCCCATCTACTGCCGGTTGAGACTCACACGTCACACCTGCTGATTGAAGTGAGGTTTTACAGTTGTTACCACTACAGAACTGACAAAGATAAAAGGGAATGAACTAGATTATATTTCTTCTAAGGCACCCTCAGTCATTTATGCCTGTGCAAATGCTGTAAAAGCAATTGAGGTGTCATTGAGGGGACAATTTAAAAACAATAGTTGCAGAGGTGTAACCACAGGTGCTGGAAGTGTGGGTGCTAACCATATACAGGGTTTACAGTTGGTTCAATGGTGCTCAGCATCCCCACTATACAAATTGTTCCAGAACACCTGGGTGTAACTAAGATCTTGATGCCACAACAATTGCCTGGGTTGACCTCATTACAGGACTAATGTTCAAGACTAAAATTTGGCCTATTTTTGGTGAATGAGAAGGAAAGAACCCAGCTTGACTTTCAGATCCCAGGTTGAATTTACAGGGAGAAAAAATGAAAACATTTTCCCATGTAAACTAAGCATATTTTATTATGGAAGTCAACAGGAGACAAGATGTAATTTTTCAGAGTGGAATGCCTCTTCTGTCTCTGGCTCAGTTTCCATTGCCTGTTTAATAGGGATAACAATACTTTACTACCGTGAGTAGTTCCATCACTGTGGTAAATTGAAGCTGATTAATGAAATTGTTGCAGGATTGGGGCCATAGTCCCAATCCCGTGAATGTTTATGCATATACATATGCTCATCTTTAAGCAAATAATTAGTGCCGTGGAAGTCATGCATATAAAGTTAACTGCAAATATGTGATTGCAGAATCAAGGCCTACTATACAGAATAGTGAAACTGATCATATGTAAAGTGCTATCAAATGCACAATGTAAACAATTTATTAAAACTGCAGCAAAATGCTGTTCATTGACCTTTGTCCTGGTGATGGTAGGTGTTTCTTTTAACTATAATAGGTGCAATATTTTCAAACAGAAATGTGAGATTTTCATATTGAGACACTCGTTTTTGTAAAGATTTTGAGGATTTTTTTATGGAAAATGTAGAAATGAAAAGTATTACTTTAATCAGTGCATGAAAATCGTGAACACAATAAGTAGGCACTTGCCTGGAAAAGCTTCCATTAGCATCCACAGAATCTAAGTTTTCATTAAAACAAATGCTAGTCTTGATGGATACAAAAAACATGAACTGAGTGTAAAAGGATGCAGTATTGTTTTCCTAACATGGAGATGGACAGCTCCATGCTGACATTCATAGGTTTGCCAACCTGCTGCAGGGTGAAAACTAACTACAGTCTTTGCAACTTTTACCATTTCTGTTCAGAGCTTTGGACAATTTCACTCTATTGCTGCTTGAAAAAGCTATGAACAACACATGAGGCTGGCACTGGAGCTAATCACTGGAGAGGAGTCTAAAAGAGAGATTGAGTGAGGGAAAGAGTAGCAAAGAGACTTCCATCACAGGAGCCAGGAGACTGGGAAGAGGTAGAGTAGTGTGAGACCTCCCAATGGCAAAGTGATTCTGTGGTGGGATGGGAACAGAGAAAGAATTCTCTTCTCCCTTCCTGCAAGGAGAGGGGTTGTGGGGCATAAATATTTATCAGTGACCTGACACTAGCTGGAGGTGGATACAAAAAGTAGATCACCAGGCAGTGTCCATGGGCAACATCTACTTTTCCAGCAATTGAGGTGCGCAATGGAGCAGGCATGTCACTTGGACATTGCCTCTGTACCTTGGTGTCAACCTACCATTCTTTGGCCAGAAGGATTAATTCTCCATTAAATGTTTGGTAAATTTCAAAAACCCATATCTGAATGGACCAGGGTGAGAGGGTGTATGTGAAGTAGGTGGACATGGATGGGTGAAGCTGAGAGATGAGTATGGGAGAGAGTTTTTGAAAGGGAGGGGAAAAAAAAAAAGTAGAGAACACAATGAAGTATGAGAAAGAGAAGTACCTGAAGATAGTGAAAGTAATGGAGGAACAACAATATAGCATGATTGGGGGGAGGGGGTTTGAGAGACAGTCAGAGAACTCCAGAAGGGAAAAACAGAAGATATTTAGGAAGTTATATTAAAAAAAAAAAAATCTAGAGAGTTGATAATCTATGAAGAGTACACAATTGCATTATTCCATTAAATTGCAAGGGGAGTAGGGGAACAGTTTTTCACCTTGGCTAGTCTTTAATCCTTGCTTTGTGGGTACTGAATAAATATTTCAGTTATAATAAACAAAACTTTAATTAGCCAATCTCCATTGACCAAGCTGAAAGAAAAGCAAAAGTAATCCAGAATAGTAAGGAGTATGCAATCTGGACTCTTAAAATTATTTCAGTAATAATCTAAGGGGTTATAACGCTGGGAAGGAAATGATTTTAAGTAAGATTTTTAATCTGACAGTGACCCTTTTAAAACAGTTACATTTTATAATTTTAATTGAACACAGAAATTCTTTGTCAGAGTGAGAAACTTTTAACACTTGCCTTAAAACTCAACTCAAATGAGGGAGGCTTGGGAGGCCTGCTGACAATTTTATTCATTCACATAATTGCAACAACTGGAAATGTATTTGAGGAATCAATCTCACTAGTTAAATTAAAATTACATTCTCATGGAAAAAATTAAATGATCATGACTACATTTATCAGCATTCCAAATGCATTAAAGTGGCAGCATAACTTCACACCAGAGAACTTGAGCTCTTCAGGATGAATTGCCAAAAGAGACAGCAAGCAGAGCAGTAAAAGTCAGGAAGGAAAAGGAGATGCTATACAAACAGAGAAAAAAAAAACTAAGACTATTTATTCTGAAAAGGAGAAGAGTGAGAGAAGAGATTAAGCAATGAAGGTGTAGTTACAACAGTGAATGCAAATCATGTATTTACTGATTCAAATGGCCAATTGGGTGCATAACTGGCTATTCGTATACAACCTCAGTAATCACACTAGCATATTAGGTGTGCAGTTGTAGATGCATTTTTTGAAATTCTTACCTGATGTCACAAATACCCCCTCACCTGTGTCTCCTCCTCCGTCCTCTTGTGCTAGCTGAACTTTTATATGGGTGGACTTCTCTTCTGAACTTTCAGACTTGTAGACATCAAACAGTATTTTAAAATTTACACATTGTCTTCATAAATATCAGAATAAAAGAACAGCCATAATACAATGGAACTTTACATTAATATAAAATGTCTAAAAATACAAGAATGCATGGTAAAAGAAGTATATTCTAAAGAACTTGCTAGAAAGTATTTAGTTACCAATAATAATCAGGAGCTTGATTTAGCCATGAGGTAAGACAGCAGATGTATCTCAGGGCAGCTTGCTCATACCAGTAGAAAGCCTCCCTGGAAGTATATCTGCAATTCTTGCTGCACCAGAGACACATAACCAGCCAATGCAGCCCATAAAGTGGCTCAGTGAGGTGGCAAGGTCATGGGATCCTGAGGACCTAACTGGTTGGGGTTAGAGTGCAGGAGAAGAATGGGAATAGAATTGTTGGAGTAAGACAGGGGAGTAAGTAAAGAGAGAAACTGAGGGAGAGAGAGGGTAAAGGAGGGAAGAGAGGAAGAAAAATAATAATGGGTAGGGAGAGAGAAGTTGGGCAACTGAAAGGTTGCAGTGGTAGGAGAGATTCAATAAAAAAAAAAAAATACTCCTGAGAAGTTGTGCAATGTTTAACTGTGCGACAAATATATTCTCAGTGGAGTACTAACATGATAGGCTTTGTATGCAGTGTAGTTGTTGCCATATCAATCCCAGGATATCAGGCAGACAAAGTGGGTGTGGTAATATCTTTTATTGGACCAACTTCTGTTGGAGAACAGAAGTTGGTCCAACAAATGATAGGCTTCATCAGTTAAGATTTTGAAAGTTAAATATAATACAAATGCATTAAGAAAAATACCATTCACTATCTTGTACAATCCACTAATAGGAGAAAGGTGTTTCTATCATTCAAACAGTGGTGCAATTCAATGTGTTGTGCCATCTACGATAGAGAAAGACTTCCAAAGCATGTTGCACTGCTAAATGCAACACAAGAAATTAAACGGTCAAAACATAAATCAGAACTTTATTGAATTCCATATGTAACAATAATAGTATGTAAACACAGACTTATCAAACTTGCAAAAAGTTACATAAGAAAAAATTGAACACTTGGAAACCTTTAATATCTTGTACAGAGATGTGCCCATAGTTTGGTGATAATTTGCTTACAGGAAGTTTGACAATGCCTTTTAATGCTGAATATGTAAACAATAAATAAATGGAGGAATGGCAAGGTGCAAATACCTGCCTGTTTGCACACCATAGTAAATACAAGCACATTAGAACTAGCACATTTGTAATTGTAACAGGTTTCAGAAAACTAGAGTATTTGATAATGAAAGAGACAAGTTTATTCAGCAGCTGTAAATACTGTGGTCAGCTAGTATTTTTTAAAACTTTGGAAACATTTTAATAAGCAGCAATCAGCATTTATCTGGGATTTAAATACTTTTCTTCTTTTTCTTTTCAGATTCTTCTTTTTCCTTCTCTATTTCTGCAACTTGTGATTCAATATCCTTTGCACTAAAAATCTGAAATAGAACATAGGACAAAGAATTGTATAAAATGTAACTAATACGGATTCCATCTGCACTTTTTTAATCCACAGATTCAATTACATTTCACAGCTCCAAAATGTACTCCTGAAGTGTTGAAAAAAATGTTTCAAAAGCTCCCATCTGAGACACAAATTGACAGAAGCAAAATTGTGTGAATTCTTTGAAGTCAAGACGTGTATTTATACAGATTTGCATTTATAAACCTGACAGGTTAAGAGACTGCCAGGGATGATTATTTTCCTTATAAGTAAATTCACAGGCCAGATATTGTGAGATAGCTGTACCGTGAGCTACTCCATTAACAACTTTAACTTCAACAGCAGAAGGTAATTTAGTGTCTATACTGGCACGAACCTAGGCTTCTTCAGTACAGACTGGCAATTCTGTCAAATTATGTGTGAGGGTTTCATTTTATTGGGCTGTCCACTAGCAATTTAAATGAGTTTTGTGGACACTCACTCAGACCTCCAGCTGGAACCAAATCCTAACAGGATCTTACCAGAAATTAAAGGCAAATGGTTTATTTAATAACCCCCTTAGTTCTTTATAAATATGTTGTTACCCAAACCTTCAGATTGGTTACAAATGTTAGAAATCCATATAACATCATTGAAAGAAAATAGTGAATATAAGAATTAAAGCCATGTTTATGGACTGGGGGAAAAAATGTCTATGCCAGGGTGATGTTTTCCCATGATGCCTCTACCACCCTGATAACAGAAGGAAGAATACTAAGGGCCACTTTTATCTATGACAGAGATGGCCAACCTTACTGACCCTCCTAGCCACATGACAATCTTCAGAAGTTCAAGAGCCGGGGCGCAACTGCCGGGGCTCAGGGCTTTAGTCCTGTGTGAGGCACCTGATGGGGCGCGGGGCTTCAGCCTTGCTCCTGCTGAAGCCCCAAGCCCTGGCAGGTGTGCTTCACAGGGCTGAAGCCCCGAGACCCCACACTGGGGAAAAGCCCATACCCCATCATCCATAGGTGGAGAATGGGGGAATTTGAGGGGCTCCGCGAGCCGCACTTCAACTGTAAAAGAGTTGCACATGGCTCATGAGCCAGTTTGGCCACCCCAATCTATGAAGTACATGCCCTACTCTTTCAAAGGGTTAGGCAGTGTCCTCATTTCCCCTGTATTCCCAGGAGTAAATGTCCTAGGGAGCTCCTGCTGAGTTGATGCACCTTCACATCCCCTCCACCTCTCCAGGGCTTCATAGCAATAAACCTGTCCTAACAGGGTGTCTTTCTTATCACTCTATCTTTGATAAAGCACATATGTAATTTTGGCTAAACTTCTAGCCAGCTATCTTCTATCAACAATTCATCATTCGATTCACCCTCAGCATACAGAATTCACGATAGTAATGTATGGACATAAAGGTTTACTGAACTTGAGTCTACAGGATGTGGGTGTTACTGCAGGAAATGGTGATACATTGCTAAGGGTGTAATGATGAATGCAGTTTGTAGAAGATGCGTTTATTTCAAGAGTGTACACACACCACCATTTATCTTTATAAGTCAAAATCTTTTGACTATATTGCCAAGAATTTATTCTAGAGCTGGGCTTCTTTCAGATGCAGCAGAAATAATGAAAAGTTAGAATTTCTTTGGAATATTGTATCATTTGGGACTGAGAACTAAATATCACATCTTACTAAAATTCCAGACAACTCAAACAGTTAAAATTACTTAAAGAGATTATGTACACTTATCTATTATGGGGGTAATGTATGCAGAAGAATGGAGCTGTTTATTCCAAAAGAAGGGAAATACTCTATGGAAATCTTATTTTTTAAATTGTCATGCCTGGAGTCTGTCTTTTTCACTGTAATAGCAGCTACAAAAGGGGTCTCAAAATGTTTGCCAGAAATATTAAATTGCAAAAATGCTTCTTTAGAACTGTACAGTATCAAAATGTACTATGAGTCTCGCCATGTAAACTACGTGAAAATGTCTCCCACACACAATATAGAAAAGTATGTTTTGATATGCTTTCCCAGAACTGTTTCCTGCACTGAATGTTCCCAACACAGCTTCTTATAGTACAATATAAATTACACTGGTCTACAATTTTTGAGAAGTCGTCTGCTTCAGAGATAAAATGTGCTATGTATTTTGATGTGCAGAATTCAAATATGACAATTAAAACAACTGATTGGCTACTGTTTCTAAGGTATTTAAGTTTTTACATTTTATGTCTATGTATATTGTGTAGATAGTAGAGTTTTAATCATAAATTGTAAACCTAGGTCTTTTCATGTGTTTATGGTTGCTTTACATGATAATATTTCATCTGTCCTGTTTACGTAACACTTTAAAAATCAGCAAAAGGGTTATATAAATAAAATTTATTATGAAACAAAAGGCAAAAAACTATTCTGTACATAGTTTAGTCCTATTCAGTGTCTACTCGGCCCTTCTTGGCTTGTCTCTTGTATTCATTAAATGGAGCATCTCTTGTCACTGTCCAGCAATAGTCTGCAAGCATTGATGGGCTCCATTTGCCCTGATAGCGTTTCTCCATTGTTGCAATGTCCCGGTGAAATCGCTCGCCGTGCTCATCGCTCACTGCTCCGCGGTTCGGTGGAAAAAAATCTAGATGAGAGTGCAAAAAATGTATCTTTAGTGACATGTTGCAACCAAGGCTTTTGTATGCCTTGAGGAGGTTTTCCACCAACAACCTGTAGTTGTCTGCCTTGTTGTTTCCGAGAAAATTTATTGCCACTAACTGGAAGGCTTTCCATGCCGTCTTTTCCTTGCCACGCAGTACATGGTCAAATGCATCGTCTCGAAGAAGTTCACGAATCTGAGGACCAACAAAGACACCTTCCTTTATCTTAGCTTCACTTAACCTTGGAAATTTTCCACGGAGGTACTTGAAAGCTGCTTGTGTTTTGTCAATGGCCTTGACAAAGTTCTTCATCAGACCCAGCTTGATGTGTAAGGGTGGTAACAAAATCTTCCTTGATTCAACAAGTGGTGGATGCTGAACACTTTTCCTCCCAGGCTCCAATGACTGTCGGAGTGGCCAATCTTTCTTGATGTAGTGGGAATTTCTTGCACGACTATCCCATTCGCAGAGAAAACAGCAGTACTTTGTGTATCCAGTCTGCAGACCAAGCAAGAGAGCAACAACCTTCAAATCGCCACAAAAGCTGCCACTGATGTTGGTCATAGCTTATGCACCTCAAAAGTTGTTTCATGTTGTCATAGGTTTCCTTCATATGGACTGCATGACCAACTGGAATTGATGGCAAAACATTGCCATTATGCAGTAAAACAGCTTTAAGACTCGTCTTCGATCAATCAATGAACAGTCTCCACTCATCTGGATCGTGAACGATGTTGAGGGCTGCCATCACACCATCAATGTTGTTGCAGGCTACAAGATCACCTTCCATGAAGAAGAATGGGACAAGATCCTTTTGACGGTCACGGAACATGGAAACCCTAACATCACCTGCCAGGAGATTCCACTGCTGTAGTCTGGAGCCCAACAGCTCTGCCTTACTCTTGGGTAGTTCCAAATCCCTGACAAGGTCATTCAGTTCACCTTGTGTTATGAGGTGTGGTTCAGAGGAGGAGGAGGGGAGAAAATGTGGGTCCTGTGACATTGATGGTTCAGGACCAGAAGTTTCATCCTCTTCCTCTTCCTCGTCTGACTCAAGTGAGAATGATTCTGGTGCATCAGAAACCGGTATTCCTTCTCCGTGGGGTACTGGGCGTATAGCTGATGGAATGTTTGCATAATGCACAGTCCACTTTTTCTTCTTTGACACACCTTTCCCAACTGGAGGCACCATGCAGAAGTAACAATTGCTGGTATGATCTGTTGGCTCTCTCCAAATCATTGGCACTGCAAAAGGCATAGATTGCCTTTTCCTGTTCAACCACTGGCGAAGATTTGTTGCACAAGTGTTGCAGCATATGTGTGGGGCCCACCTCTTGTCCCGATCTCCAATTTTGCAGCCAAAATAAAGGTGATAGGCTTTCTTAACCATAGTGGTTATACTGCGCTTTTGTGATGCAAAAGTCACTTTACCACAAACATAGCAGAAGTTATCTGCACTGTTCGCACAAGTACGAGGAATCTCTGCTCACTTTGGCTAAACAGAAATGTGTCCCTTTGCAAAAATCAAACACTGACAAATAAGAGAGCACGACACTATGATTTCTAGAGCTGATATAGGGCAATTTGTTCAGCAGAGTGATGTAAGCTTCGTTATGATTGCATCATCCATGACTTCTAGGAATAACATGATGCAATTCATATCATGTATGATACAATACCAGCTTCAGATTGCATCATTCATTGTTTTGCCTAAAAAGCAAGTACTGTCCAAACCCAGTCATAGATTTATTCATAGATCCAATCAAAGATGTATTTTAGTCATTTCTGGTTTAAATTGAGATCCCTTCCCTTTATAACTCACTTATCCTCCACCATTCCCAAGTCAAGGGTCGTATATACTGACCCAATAGCATATCTTGAAAACTAGAGCCAATCAACAATTTTAAGCATCATTTTCGTTCTCAGTGACCCAGAATTAGTAAAGTTTGACTACATTTATTTCAGAAGCATTTTGGCTGTAGAGTAGTGTTATCAGCAGTTACTATATAGCTCACAGCATCATCAATCTACAAAGACACAACAGAAGTCACATAATATTGTTTTACCAGATGTTAGGGACACTTACATCCAGTTGAAATGCACAGGTGTAAACTGGTATAATTTTTGTCAAAAGATTCTGCATAGGAATTATCGTTTTATTCCTATGTAATCAATAACTCATACCTGCAGTGGTTGGTTTCTCCTTATTATTGCAAGTTCAATGTTTTTTCCACCAGATTGCACAACCTAGTATACAACAAAAACATCATTACAAGTACGTTTCAAAACGAAGAAAAACAAGCTTTTCTGAAAGCATTTATTGTATGCATTCTACTGGATTACATACTTCTAGCAAAGCTCTGATTGCTAATTTGATAGCTTCCTTGTCAGTTGCTATAGCTTCTTCTGTGTAATTCTTCTCCAAAAATTCACGCACAGTTTTAGCATTGCGACCAATTACATTTGCCTGTAGAAGACACACAGTTATGTATCTCACCACGATGTACATTAATTTGTTTTACCTAATCAAACCCATTTGGTCTGCACACATTTCTCACACGATACTAATTTGGCAATCCCCCACTATCATTATGTAACATGTGATTTGGGTTTTGCAGTATTGGCAGCAAAGACTTTATTTCACTGTTTCCATGTGGAACAGTGCAACATTTTCAAGATGGCCCCAGGCCCTTACGTTTTTAAGGAAAGATGACAAAAGGGCATAATAAACCTGGTTAATTTGAAGCACTTTGAAAACATCATTAGTGGTCCTAGGTCTTGTAACACCTGAGGACATGAAAATATTAGAACAGTGGTTCTCAAGCTTTTTCACACCAGAACCCCCTTTTCCATAAATTGACTACGCTAGGACTTCCTTGCTTTAACAGGGTGGTCTCCCCATTTAAGGGCCTGGGGCCAGCAGTCCTGTGCAATTATCAGACCCAGCTGAGAAGGGGCCAAGTGATGCCTATAAATGGAAACAGAAGGCTTAAAAGAGTAGTAAGAAGCTGTTTTTGAGCAAAAAGAGACAAATAAAATTTAAAGTAAGGTAGTTTTTAATGACCTGTAACTCATAAGGTTGGACCCACTGTCTTTAAATATCTCTCCTATGTTTTCTTTTGCTCTCAGAGTAGATATGGTAATTTTCAGGCCATGCCTCCATTTTTCCATGGGAAAGTTTAAAAGGAGAGGGGAAGTTTGAAATAGGGCTTTATAATGGAATCTGGTTTCAACATTCACTATGGAGAGGTTATCTCCTCATAATCGGTGACAGCGTACACGCAATCACCATGCGATATGTTTGCTGTTGTAAATATTTTAAATTTATATTCTTATTTTACTGTGGATTCACTAATTCTTTAACTATAAGGCTAAGGGTATAGCTATACAGCAATTCAACACCCACAGCTAACCCAGTTCATCTGCCTTGGGTTGTAAAATTGCTGTGCAGATGTTTGAGCTTAGGATGGAGCCCAAGCTCTGGGACCCTGCTTGGGGGGAGGAGCCCAGAGTTCCGGCTCCAGCCTGAGCCCAAACACGTACGCAGCAATTTGTAGCCCCGCAACACAAGTCAGCTGACCTGGACCAACCATGGCTGGGCCACGGGTCTTTTATTCCAATGTAAACATACCCTAAATTAGCTTTGGTGCTCAAACAACTGTAACTAGCCTGCTGAAAGCATGGAACAGATTCTTTGGTTATGTGAATCCATAGTACAAAATGCAACATCAGACTTCATTGGGATACACTGCCTATGTAAATATTTGCACTAAGATAATACAATTTATGAATTAAGTTGGAGCTTACCTTCCAAGAATGATATGTACCAGATGGGTCTGTCTGATACAATCTGGGACTACCATCATCATCAAAGCCCACAATCAAGGCAGAAATACCAAAAGGTCTACGTCCATTGCTCTGTGTATAGCGCTATGAACAAGATGTACAGTTTTAACATTTTTACCTTCATGGAATGTTATCAGTCTAGTACATATGAAACAGCATAAAACTGAAAAGGCTCTACACAGCAATTTAACCTATAATTGATTATTATTAACCTACTATTGGGAGAATGCAATTCCTAAATATTCTGGGATTAAATTCTACTCTGTGTTATACTTGTACAACCCTAGTGAAGTTGCACAAGAGTAACTGACAGCAGAATTTGGCTTTTAGTGAGAGACAAAGTACACTATAAAATATTCTCAACTAGGTCTAAACTAATTGTAGGAATTTAAAAATAAACATATTGCTTAAATATTTTTACATATGAAGCTATTGCAAACAGGGTTCAGGGTACTGTCATTAGCAGATTTCAACAGACATCTCCCAATAGATTTATGATTGATGAGACTATTCCTAACTGTTCCACTAATATGAAGAAAGAAGGACATTTTGAGATTAAGGATCTGCATTTAAATGTTACCTTAAATTCAGCCCTTCACACTATCTAGTACTGATCTGAAAAAAGCTTTTTTAAATTTGTTTTATCTTAACTTTTGCTATACAATAATATATTTTCATTTCCAAATAAGATAGGAAATGTATGAAAGGGACTACAGCACATGAGAGTAGAGCAGGAGCGATATTTGCAGGTGGTCCGCCAAACAGAAAAGCTAATAATGGAAACTATTTCCTTGTGGAAAATACTAGTATTACTTCTTTTAAACACTATATACATTCTTAAAAGTCCAGTGAAGAAAATTTAACCAGGCTCCCATTTTTACTGGCAATCTGACACCTGGCTTCTATTTCTACTGCTGTGAAATAGAAGCAGCTTGGTTGCTTTTAAATAGTGTTATCTAAAGGCCCTTATGGAAAACTAACAACACTAAGTAAGATACTTACCTGCTTTAAAGATGCTATATAGCGTGTTATATATTCTACTGTGACTGGATCCTCAACAGTAAGTTTATGGCTTTGACACTCCACACGGGCTCTGTTAATTATTATTCTAGCATCAGCAGTCAGACCTACATAATCATAATTATCAAATATGTTACAACAAAGTGAATAGTTTTTCTTTATCAAACAATACATGTATCATTTATGAAGAAATATACTATTAAAATAAAGTTTTTTCTTTAGTATCAAAAACCAATTTGCTCAAAACCTGACTAACAGAGACATAAATACAGGCTATAAATAGAACACAAATTATTCTAAGAAAATAGTGTTTAAAATAAACATTTTTGTAAGAAATGCACATTTCAGAACATGTAAATTTTTAAGATTAAGGAATAGGGATTTACTGAGCACTTGCATTAGCAGCAAAAACAAATCATTGCACCTTAAAGGATACTGACAACTTGAAGTTTCGTACATTTAAAAAGTCAGTTACTACACCTGCCGTGAGCCTCTTTCCAAGTTTTGTGTTTTTACAAACATTACTTTTTTTCCTCCCTCTTGCTTTGTGAAAGTCATTTTCCTCTGTCTGAGTCTGACTACAGAAGGGAAACTGACCATTCACAAAGTATGGTCAATTGCACAAAAGCAAACAAACTGAAAAGGAAAGAAAAACATAAAGCTGAAAAAACATTGTTCTCTACTTTGTTTAGTTATAATAATCTTCCATGTTGCCTGTAACAGTAGTAGGCAAGACATTTTGAGACAGAATCATAGAATATCAGGGTTGGAAGGGACCTAAGGAGGTCATCTAGTCCAACCCCCTGCTCAAAGCAGGACCAATCCCCAGACAGATTTTTACCCCAGTTCCCTAAATGGCCCCTTCAAGGGATGAACTCACAACCCTGGGTTTAGCAGGCCAATGCTCAAACCACTGAGCTATCCCTCCTCCAAGCTTGATTTATGTTGACTGTGTATCTTTCTTTTTGCGGATACAGACTAACACGGCTGCTACTCTGAAACCTTTAAATTATCAAGTGGGTCAAGTGACAATCAAAAACTTATTTGTTACACCTTCTTCTAGAATAAAATACACCCTTATGTCCTCTTCAAAATGTCTTTCCACTCTAGTTTCTCAGATCTCAATCCTGCAAACACAGTCAATGAGGGTACTTGTGTACTTAATATTAAACACATGCACAAGTGTTACAGGATCTAATTACGTTACACTTCTTTTCTCGTACAAAAAATGGTGCAGCAAGGTGGGCACTAAAGAGCTGTTGAGGCAAATGGACATCTTAGGAAGTTCTTGCTGAATCTTCCATAAAAACCCTAGCAGTTTTATTAATTTATCACTTTTTATAACAGTAAGGGCTAGGGTGGGTAAATGACTAATTATGCTCTGTGTGTGTATGTACATGCATGCCTGTGCATGTGTTTTGAACATTTAAGGACCCCTAGCTGATCCTTTCCTTTTCCTTCTATTCTGCAGGTAGAAGTCTCACCCCTGTTCAGACAGATTCATACATAATTAGCAGAGGCACTCAGGCCTAGCAGAAGCAGGCTGTAGAAACTACAGTAGCCCTAAAATAAACAAGGGAAGGGAGAGCTGAAAGGAGCACCACCCACAGCCTAAAAAGAGGAGTTCTAGGGTCTCTCTATGGTCCCCTCTCTTCTCTCTCCCTGCAAGCAGTAATAAGGAGGGAATGGGAAACTGCAAACACGTAAACAAACCGCTGAGTTCTTCTTCCCCCAACCTTTTCTGAAGGGGGATGTTTGTCTAAATGCCCCCCAAGCTACTCCCTGGGGGAGGGGGCAGCAGGAGTTCACAAGTGCTCCTTCCCCCCTGCACCAGTTGCCTGGGAGGGTATTTCTCTCCCTACCCTCAGAAAGTGATTCCAGGGGCAGACACAGTGAAGAAGAATGGGATGGGTGTGCTTTTCCAGTCCCATAATGTCTCTCCCATATTTGTGGGGTTTTCCCCAATATTACCCCAATTTCTTTTTCTGGGGATGGAGTCACAGGTACAGTGTTCTCTTCTCTCTTGGTCTGTTTAAGGCTATTGCAGCCAATCTACAGGCAGCTTGCTGCTCCAACTGGCCCCATCACTGCTAATGATCTACATATCTACCTGAGCACGAGGGGGAAAAAGGAAACGGTCAATCAAAAAATCCCTAAATGTTCAGAATTTTCTAAAAGACCAAATTATTTCCCACCAGCCACAGAAAAAAAAACTCCATTAGGCAGTGATTTCTGGTCACTACATTCAAATCTATGATGTAAAAGCAAAAGCCTTACCAGTCTCCTGAACTATCCTGACCACCTCAGTAATATTTTTTCTTAAATCCAGGAACAGGTCTTTAAAGGCCTCTTGCACAACATACATCTGCAATAAGATGCTCCATAGAGCAATAACTCTATAACCAATACCTGCAAAAGCCATGCAGACATGATCATCAAGTGCACAAATCTTTCTCACAGTTCTTTCTTCCTGAAGTTTGGCAACAGACTTTCTCTCTACCCCCAATACAACTATGTCCAGCCCTCGAATTCCAACCTGTTAAGTCATCATAAAAAAATAATTAAACTTTAGAAACAGAAATGTTTTCATCATTAACAATATAATGAAGATATTATGGTACTTAGGGTAAGAATGACCCTTTACATTTAAGCCCCCAAGCTATGAGAATGAAATTATGTATATGCCTAATTCTTTGCAGAATAAGAGCCTTAGACTGTTAGTCTCCACGGTGATGGTACTCAATAAGTAATAAACAATAATATTTGACCCTCTGTTAGAAATGAAAATGGTAGGGTGGGTATGCTGCCATACTGAGAAGCTGTGGATGTCTTATTTATTATTTGTACTGAAGTAGCACCTAGGAATCCCAGTCACAGACTAGCATCTCACTGTAGTAGGTGCTGTACAATCCCAGAACAAAAAGACAATCACTGCCCAAAGAATTTACAATCTAAGTATAAGACAAGTTACAAGAGGTGAATATGGTCAGACAGATAGAGGAGCAGAAGGAACCAATGAGGTAATATTGGGCAGCATGATAGCCTGTGGTATCAGCACGCCAGCTGCCTAACTGATGTCAAGATTTTTTTGTAGACATCATGGCAAAGGAGGGGTTTTTAAAAGGATAAAGATGTACTTTGTGGATGTTTACAGGAAGCTCCAACCATGCGTAAGGGGCAGAATGAGAGAGATGGGCAACAAAGGCTGATATTATTGTTATAGCGGAGACAATTTTCAACATCTCAATAGTGTATGAGAACTTTGTTTCTATCTTTCTTTTATTTATTACTTGGTATTTTCTCCCCATTCGAATCAGAACTTATTCCCTGGATGACTGAATCACTGTCAGACTTCAAAGTGCTCTAAATACTCCTGAGGGCATTCTGCACCAAAAAATTAAAAATTCTGCACGCAATATTTTAAAATTCTGCAAGTTTTATTTGTCAATAAATAAAGGCAGAGGCTCCAGCACAGCAGTGGGGAACACAGGCCACTGACTGCACGAAGGTGAGAGATCACCCTGCAGCCTCCCCACTCCCAGGACACAGACTCAGTGGTGAGGCTGCACACGAACCTGACACAGCACAAGGCCTGGGCCTGCCCCAGAAATACCCTAGGGCCCTGTCCCTTTGCACCAGGCTCAACCAGGCAGGATCCAAGTGTGGAGGGGCTCAGTGTGAGGGGATCCAGGTGTGGGATGAGAGGATTCTCTGTGGACAATGGGGGGGGGCGGGGCGGGGGGGGGGGGGGGGGGGGGGGGGGGGATCTGGATGCACAGAGGCTCATTGGGGTGGTTCCAGGTGCAGGGGCAATGGGACTCTGCAGGGGCTTCCAGGTGAAAGTGGTTGGGGCTCAGCGGAGGGGTCTGGGTGTGGGGGTCTCAGCAGGGGAGTCCCATGCTGCGGGAGTAGGGCTTGGTGGGGTGGGGTCTGAGTGCAGCTAGTTGAGGGTCAGTAGGGTGGGGGTCTGAGTGCAGCTAGTTGGGGGTTGGTGGGGTGAGGGTCTGGATGTGGGGGCTCAGGGAGGTGGGGCTCCTCAGAGTGGGGGGGTTGAGTGCAGGGAGCTCAGTGGGGGGTGGTCTGGGTGCAGGGATGGGGGTCCGGAGGCAGGGGGTCTGGGTGCAGGGGGCTCCAGAATCAGGGATTGAAGTTCAATGGGGTGGGGCTCAGGTATGGAGGGCTAGGGAGGTTCTGGGTGTACAGGGTGAGGCTTGGTGGGGGTGTCTGGGTATGGAAAGTCCAGACAGGGCTTTGGAGCGGAGCCCAGAGCTGGAGCGCGGAGCAGCTCCGGAGCCGTGGAGCTGCAGGTTTTTGCCTGGAGCTGGAGCGGAGCCGAAGCACAGCTCCAAAGCCCTGGGGATACATGGGGCCTGGGCGGATGGGGGAGCAGCTCCCTGTACAGTGACCCCTCCACCCACAGCTGAGGAGCAATGGGGGCAGGAAGCAGGGGAGGATGCTGAACTTCCTGCAGCTGGGAGAGGCTTCTGGGGGGTGGGTCTGACACAGCCCCAGCCACTTCTTGCAGGGGAAGAGGAAATCCCGTTCTCTACTGCCTCCAGCCCAGCCGGGATGAGCAGCTGATCCCGGCACAGGAACAGAGTTTAGGAGCTGCTAGGTCCCAAGATAGAATCAAAGAGCTCACAGACATCCACTCCTCCAAGATAGAGCTTCCAAAAAACAGTACCACTACCCGGCAGGGGAGGACAAACAAACAGAAGAAATACTCTCTCCTTTCTTTTTTTTGGAGGAGGTGGGGTGGGGAAAGGCAAGCAGAAATCATGGAGATGCCTCAATCCCAGAAGGAAGCTCACGTCTCCCACTGGCAGCCAAGAAAAGCACCTCAGAGTGCAAAGTGCCCCAAACCTCATGTCCCTTACATGACACAACTTACTAACTAGTGACAAGCATTCCAATATCATCCCCCTATCACCTTCCCAAAACTAAACATTTACTGCATTCTAACCAATGACAAGCTTCTCCTGACATTTTGTGTCACCCTTGGACACAAATATAGTTCAACTTCACGTGAGGTAAAAGGTCACAATATCGAATGTTGGAAGCATTGCATACAAACGAAGATATGAGCTGGAGTTTTAGAATGTTTAGGAAAGATATACCCAGTGGTCTCATACCTTCACTGCATCTTAAAAATGCCCACTGTAAAAACGCCTATCCTTTAAAAAGTGACAGTATGTCCATCAATTCTATTTGTTGCAGCTTCCCAAGACATTTTAATTAGTCCAGGAGTTTTCTGTAGATAAGTTCTTATGACATTTCCATCTTCTCCACATTACATCTTTTATTCTTGATTTTAAGGTCCCAGTCCTGCAAATTGTTCTATGCAAGCAGACCCCTGCATCCATGTCAGTGAGGTCTACTTCTGCACAACTTCTTGCAGGATTAAGGACTGTGTGTGGGTGCATGCGCACACACAATTTTCTAAACACTAGGCGATAAAAAGGATTCTATTTTGATATAGATGTTGTTTGGGTCACAAAAAGGTTTTCCCCTACAAATCTAAAAAATTATTAAAGTGCAGTTATGGTAAAAAAATGATTACATTAAAGGTCATCTTCTTCAGTTATATCTATTTACATTATTTATAAAAATACTACTTTTTTTACTCCTGCTAGCACAGCTGAGTCACTATAGGTGTGCAAGAAACCTGGGAATGATCCCTCCTTGCCATCCACATCAACAAAATTACTAATCAAGCTCTAATTGTAGAATTTTTATACTGGTGAGAATATGATACCCAGAAAGAACCCAACTTGACTTTCAGACTAAACTTCCAGAGCTGGCAATAAGAGAAATAATTGTTTTACTTGTAAGCTAAGCTAACACTAGATGGAAGTGCACGAGAGACAGACAATTACAGAATGTCACAATGGTAGTTTTACAGAATAATTGTTCAGAGTAGAGCCATACTTTAAATTTTCTTATAGAATGGATCTAAACATGGGGTTAGCAGAAAAAAATTGCAGTTTCTTTAAACAAAGTAAACACTAAAATCATCCCACTTATTTTTTTCCATGTTTTTTAACTAACTCTTTTTGCACGGTGGTTAAAATGTGTGTCATGTGGTTCTACAACGTAGCCTTATTACACCTTAATACACACGTGCAACCTGAAAACTACAAGTTCTAACATGCAATTTTCTATCTTGATCCAAGTGGCAACAGGTCAGATTGTACGTAGTGAAGGTCTATTTGGGAGTACGCCATAGGAGGTCTGTCTCTTTTAGAGCTTGACTTTTCTGTGACCTTTCTGCATGACTCTGTAAGTGTGTAAGCAGTTTCTTCTAGGCAGTCATGAACTAGGCAAGGAGTCACCTATTCTGTGAGTGGGATACCTGAATCAACATTTTCTTGTCATTACCTAAGCCTGCATCTCCTGTATGTCTATATGCTCAATGCCACAACACAGATCAAGCCAGAGGATAGTGTGCTACAACCAATCAACCCTGCAGGCCACACCTTTGCGTATTACAGACAATGCAGCTGTCTGTTCTGTTTTATGCATATTTGGAATGCCACTTGGGCTTCTGGCAAATTGCTCACATGGGTCCCAGAGCTAGGCAGTTTGGGCATCTCCTAGTTTACTACACCTGTAGAGGCACTTTTTTCCTTCATTTTTTTAGTGGGGGTCACTGCTGTGAAGTTACTGGCTTCTATTAAAAAGCTCTCTCTTTCTGCAGCAAACCAACCAGGGCTGGTATCATGAGTTCTGGGGAAAATCTGATGGAGAGAGGCCTTTGTTGTTTGTTTTTTAAATGGCACAAGACTTGTGAAGGTAAATGTCACTTTGAAACACACCAAAACAACATCCTCCATCCCAAGCAGGGATGGTGAGACTCAATACCGGATGCCAGGAGGGAGCCTCCAGCTCCTTTCTCCTCATGGTTTGGGGCAGTCTCTTCGTATGTACTTGGGGCAGTTGGTCACACCATCAATGTGTGTCATGTCGCTCCAATGGGCATACAAAACCATAACTCTCCCTGATAAGGGAGTCTCTCTCTAGCCCAGTCCCACCCCATGGGGGAGTGAGTCTCTCCCTCTGATGGCCCCTGGAAGAGTCTCCTCTATCACAGCCCCTATGAGGGAGTGTCTCGATATCCAGGGCCGGTGCAAGGAAGTTTCGCGCCCTAAGCGAAACTTCCACCTTGCGCGCCCCCACCCCAGCCCTGCGGCAGCTTCCCCCCCACGATAGCTCCCCACCCCAGCTCACCTCTGCTCCGCCTCCTCCCCAAGCACGCTGCCCCCGCTCTAATTCTCCTCCCCTCCCAGGCTTGCGGTGCCAAACAGCTGATTGGCACTGCAAGCCTGGGAGGTGGGAGAAGTGGAGCAGCGACCGCGCGCTCGGGGAGGGGGCGTAGGAACGACGTAAAAAAAAATTGGGGGCACCGCTTTTTGGCACCCCCAAATCTTGGTGCCCTAGGCAACCGCCTAGTTTGCCTAAATGGTAGCACCAGCCCTGTCCGTACCCCAGCCCCGCATGGAGGAGTCTCTCTGGGGGAGGAGAGTCTCTCTTTTCTTCAGCCCCTCCCCATGGGGGTCTCTCCCTATCACACCCCGAGGAGATGAGGAGCCTCCTTTCCTTCCTCCCTCTCCCTCTGGGGGCAGGTCAGTGCCAGGGGCTGTCTCTTCCCTGCTGGAAGGCGCAGGGGAGGCAGGGCGGGCGCTGCCCGGGGGACCGGCTGCACAGGGCGCACTCACAGCCGTGGAGCCCTTCTTCACGGCCTCCTGGGCGTACTCCACTTGGAAGAGGTGCCCGTCCGGGGAGAACACGGTGATGGCGCGGTCATAGCGGGCAGCCATGCTCCTCCTGCGGCGCGCTGGGGACGCCCCGGCCGCCGCTCCCGCTCCGGCTCCGCGCACCTGCTGCTCCGGGCGAGAGACCCCTCCCTGCCTGCCGGGCTGGCTGGCTGCTGTTCCGGAGCCGGCCGGCAGGGGGCTGCCTAGGGAGCGCGCCAGCCGCCGGGAGAGGAGCTCTGGGGGCTGCCCTGGCGCGGGGGGCGCAGGCAGGCTCGCTGCTGGAGGCAGCCCTAGCACTTAGACAGCCTGACCCTGCCAGGGCCTGAGCGTGCCCCTTTGTCCTCAGAGGGAGGACACAGGCCCGGGTCTTTGGAGAGTAAACGAGCCTTTCCCTCCTCAGAGCTCTCCTCGCCCCCAGGCATTCGGGACTGCACAAACCAGCCGGGGAAACACTGGGGGGGAAACTGGAAACGAGCGTGGCTTCGTTACAAGTGGACGCATGTAGTCATGGGACAAAAGCTGCTGGGGCGCTAGAGGCTGGAGGGTGGTTGGAGTGCGGCTGGCCCCAGGAGATCAGAGACAGGGAACAGCTTTGATTGTCACCCCCAGGAAAAGCCCTGGGCAGCCTAAAGGCTTGGCTTATTCTGCAGCCGGAGAGCCAATGAGAAAAGCTATCACCTGACCAACTTTGGCTCCTCATTAGAGTGATATTCAGCAGCTGTTCTGTTCCTTTTTAACTCTAGAGTCCCCCTCCCCATTAAAAAAGTCTATTCCTCTGTAGTCCTATGCATTTCAATGGAGTTAAGAAATGTATCCCCAGTTTCCCGACCCCACCACAGTGCTCCTGTCAGTAGCTTTCCCATATGCACAAGTAACATATACGAGCAAACACCTCCTCCCACCATTCCCAAAACGTACTGGCACTACCCCAGTCCTCCAGCTGGAACTGCAGAGTCAGAGCCCCATGCCCACTGGGAACCTTGTTTTTCCAGTTGTAGGATTGAGGCCAATATTTGCATTTTGCGTTAACACTTTGATAGTGTTACCTGAAAATCTGCAAACAAGGGCACCAGACTGGACTTAGGAGACCTTGCTTCAATTCCTGGGTCTCCCACTGGTCTGCTTGGTGACCTTGGGCAGGTCACTTCACTTTGCGATGCCTCAGTTTCTCCACCTGTGAAATGGGGATAATGATACTGACCTATCTTGTAAAGCACATTGAGATCTAAAGATAAAAAGTGCTACATTATTATTTTAAAGGAGACATTGCTTGAAAAGAAAAAATATTTAAAGAAATACAGCTTGTTTTTGTGTGGCATCTTTTAGAAAGCCCACCATTTCACCTGCTTGCATATTAGAAGTATTTGTGCAGTCCAGGCTGGAAACTTGGGCCAGAGAAAGGAAAAGAGAAATTTGTAAATATTCTAGCTATTTTTACTAACTTTGTCCCTGATCCTGCAAACACTTATGTCTGAGCTTAACTTCACTACCCTTGAAAACAGCTCTACAACTAGCAGTAAAGTTAAGCACAGGCATAAGTGTTTGCATTTTCAGAATCTTTGACTTCAGTCCTACAATGAGTCCTGTGCCCTGGTGGAGTCCCTTTAATTTAAATTACTTCATCCTCATGCCATTTCATCACTTGCTGGATTGGGCCAAATGGGTGGGGTATCACAGGCTAGGTCAAGGACAAGGGGCACAGCACTGATTTTGATGGGATATGATTATGCTACATAAGTCTTTTTTGGTTCCTTTTTAAAGCTTGTTACATGTGAATATATTGCACTTCTAGATTCAGGTTGAGAGTGAACCTCTGGATATTGTGTATAGGGAGGGCTGAGAAGGAAAAGATCCCTGTTATAATCCTTCATAAACTCCCCTATTTTCAGTCACTTATAACTAATGATAACATTTTATACCCTAATTGTGCAATTTTATCCATCTGTGCAGATCTGATTGCAGGATTGGGTTCATAATAATTAATACTGAGAATTTTTTATAAATAAATAATGAAAATGGGAAATAAAGTGATCTACAGATTTCTAAAGTGGAAAATAATAAATGTACATTCAGCATTTCAAGATTTTTGTTACAGAGCAGGATTTTCTAAACTGCTTTCAAGAACAGTAATACTCAGAGCATATCTGCAGAATTATGAATACCGTATATTGTTTCTTTTCTTTTCTGTGCTTTTTTTGTCACCAAGGCACTATATAAGAGAAATGGCACCAATGATCATTAATGCTGACAAAACCAACTCTGCAATCTATTTTTGATCAAACACAGCTATGTATTCCTTGCTTTTGTGTTTCATTGTACCATTTATTACTGGTCATTTATTATCAAATGAAATAGATTTATTGAAGATCCTCTCCTAAAAATAATACACGGTGATTCTGAGATTGTAGTGTATAAATAAATTAAGTTCCATAACCAAAGAGCACAGTGTGAAAATACCCATAATACTATACAGCTCTGATTATCCTTCTGAGATTAAAATAAAAGTAATATAAAGAGAATATAAATAAATAAAGTGGATTGAAGAGTAGAAAGCCAAAAGGTCAAACAAATAGGATAGAGTTAAACCATGAAAGCAACCTCAGACTGGGAGGCAAGAACTTCCAGGATAAAGAGAGAAGAGGGATCTGCAAGGATGATGTGGACAGTGGGAGATCTATCCAATCATCACCATTACCATTTATAGAGGTCAGGGGTGTGGGGGACAATCTTTTTTTCCCTCAGATAAGAGGGTTGGAAATGTCACTGCAGCTGCTTCATGTTGTGATGTTTTGGTGCCTCAGAGGTAGGCCGCATACATTGCCCTCCTGTCATTTGCTACCTCTAGTATTTGAATTTGGTATGCTAACATAGTATGCATTATGGGGCATCTCAGATCATGTCGCATAATGCATAACACAATAACATGCTAAATTCAAACACAAGAAACAACAGAGGGCCTACGCCCTCCTGGCCCCAGGCTTCTCCAGTGGTCATGCTCCTCCCCCAAGATACATCTTTGGATCCAAGTTCTGTTGCATCTGAACCCCCTGCCAGTAAAAACCCAGACTCATAGATCAATGGGATCTGTTTTTATCTCCCAGTTAATGAATGAGTTTTGGGGTCTCCAAGTCCTGAGGCTTCCTGGGAGATTTCCCTGTAAGCCAATACAAACCTGCATAAAAGCTTTGTGAATTCTTAATTTTTACCAATACTCATAAGATCATAAGAAATGAGCTGTGCTCCCTTTCTGAATCTTGATCATAGTGTTTTTGGTGATGGTGATACTCAGTTTTAGTGGGAGTTGCAGATGCTCTGCATTCAGGATCAGGCCCTCTGACAGAAAACTTATATCTGGTATCATTCTGACTCCATCTTGCTGCTGCATATTGCTGATGAGTGCTGGCAAAGCAGGAATCACTTCCTGTGGTAATTCAAAGTTTGTTTCTCTCTCGTTAATGGTGATGATTCTTCAGAAGGCCAATGATAGCTCATAAAGGGGAAAGGGTGCCTGGAGCCATTTCTGCAGGAAAGGCTTCTCCGTGACAGCGTTATTGTTTTTCAAAGGAGGAAGCAAGTCACCAAGACCTTGCTACAGCAGTACTTGGTAGCAGATGCCATCCCATGTGTACCTTTTCTGATTTGCTGTATTGACACACAGAAGTGAAAAAGTCACTGCACTGTAATACTTTGCCTTACTTGTCCTGAAAGAAAATGTTAACCTTTAGGAATTTTTATAGAACTTTCAGCTCTAAGGGGAGTTAGATTAGACAGTGTTATATATTTTTTTTATTTACAGCATACATTCCTACTAGCAGGAGATTCCCCTTTGAAGAATAAAATCAAGGCTCTGAAAGATTTTCTCACGGCTGCAGCCCTGCTTGTTCCCATTTGTGCTGACTGTTGAACATGACATGCATTTCTTATTCTAAGTATTTATATTTGCAAACTAACATGTCAGATACTAGAATCAAAATTTAGCATCACAATGATTTTCTCTGGGTTTGTAATTGTCTCTCTGGAAGATGGCATAGACACCAGTATCTTTGTAATGTGCAATATTGTTTGGGTAGTTCATTTTATATCAGGACATAGAGGCTCATATTTCAAGTGTTACTCTTTATTAATATTCCACACAATGGCCAATGCAAGGCATAAATGTCAAAATTGAAAGAACCAGGCAAGAAGTAACTAGTCAATAAATAGAACAAGTTCAAAACAACTTTCCCCTCTTGATATAATTTCTTTTATGAAGTAAAAAGCACTATAAGAGTCAAACCACACCACAGTTGAAGGCAGTTTCCCCCAGCCAATGTAGTGCTCGGTAACAGGGTAGCTGGCCCCTTAAATGAAATTGGGCCCACCGCTCCTGTTCCAGTCCAAGTCCTCCCTAGTTTGATGGAATAAGGAGGATGGGGCTGCCCCTAGGAGTTATAAATGAGCGAGAACGGTAAGACTACAGAGAGTGCAGAACCTAGAGTTCAAGGAGCAAGCTGGGGGTTTCTAGAGAAGTACAGTGTGTGCTCAGTATAAGACATGGGCTGAGAGCTGCAGGGAGGGGATATACCTGAAGGAGGGAGCACTGAATGTTCCCTACTTGAGCAGCAGAGCCCGATCAGACTGGTGAAGGCAGGCAGGTGGTGGCAAGTTGGGTGGAGGTCACCTACAAACTTCCCTGGCCTGACAGCCATGGCTAGAGAGGGCTGAGAGCTGCAGAGGGGGATATCTGAGCCAGGGGTGAAAGTAATATTAAATTCTTACAGGTATGGTGGCCGGCTCCATCCCTTGGAAGGGGCAGGGCCTCGGGTGGAAGGGGTGGAGCCTCAGGCAGAAGGGGCAGGGCTGGGGGGTCAGCCTCCCCCAGCCAGCCCATCCGCGCTGCCTGGCCCTCGCCGCCTGGGGCTCCGGCGGTGATTTAAAAGGGCCTGGGGCTCCGGACGCTTTAGCGTGGGCTGCGTATGGGCTGGTACTGGCTTCTTACCAGTACACCGTACCGGCCCACTTTCACTCTGGTCTGAGCTGAAGCAGAGAGAGCTGAAGACTGGGGAGTGATGGAGGGGTGAGCC